GCAGGGAGCCCGATGCGGGACTCGATCCAGGGACTCCAGGATCATGACCTGAGCCGAAGGCAGTCGCTTAACCAACTGAGCCATCCAGGCGCCCATTTCTTTGCATTTTAGAAATGGTTTTACCTTCTCTGCATGTATTTCTAAACAGTGTGGTTTACTCCTATTTTTTAACATATGAATGAAATGATACCACAAATATTCTTTTGTATTTTGATTTTTTTAGTCAATATTTTATTTATAAGCATCAGTCTATCATATTGTATTTAGTTATAGTTTATTCAGTTAATTGTTTTGTAGTATTGTATGTCTCTTCCTTATTTTATTTATCCATTCGACTGTTAATAACATTTGGATTATATCTAGGCTTTAGCCGTTATAAACAGTGCTGCTGTGAACACTTCTGTACATACATCTAAGCATGCTTTTCTTTAAGATACACTTATGAATGCAGTTGTTGGGTCATAATCTACATGTATCTTGAACTTGACTAGATAAGGTTAAACTGTTTTCCACATTGTATACCAAATGTATTCTGGTCAGGCCACATTCTTTACACTGTATAGTATTGTCAGAGATTTTACTATTTGTAGTCTGGTGAGTATGTGATGAGAACCCATTATATTTTTAATGTCAGTTTCCTTGATTACTAATGAGGCCAAGGCCTTTTTCGTATGTTTATTGCCTGTTTGGATTTCCTCTTTTGGAGTTCTGGTTCAGATCTTTTGTCTATTTTTCAATTGGATTGCTTACCTTTTCCTCATTCATTTGTATCAATCTGTGCACGCACATACACACACATAGAGGATCCTAGTCTTTTTTCAGTTACGTGTTTGCAAAAATCTTAGCTTTGTAACTTTATTGTAGCTGATTTTATTGCTCTTTTTATTTCTAGTTTTTGAATCAGTGATAGAGCATCCTTGCCTTATTTCTGACATCAAAGGGGAAGCTTTCAACTTCTCACATGTGTGTTATCTTTATTCCTCACAAAAACTACAGAGTTGTTGGTGGTCCCATGTTATAAATGGAGATTCAGAGAGAATATATGATTTGCCTGATGTCACCTAGTTTAGTTGGAGAATTTATAGAGTCTGATTTGGAAGAAGGATTTTACTTATTTTTTTAAGGCAGCACATATTAAACTCCATCTCATATCTCTTCATGTATTTAAAAGAATGAGGCTGGATAGGGATTATTTATCCTAAAATACTTTCTCTAAGTTCACTAATTTCTAAGGTTATTGAAGTCATTAATATGGTTCTTGACACATAGCAGTGATTTAATAAATGGTTACTTACAGATAACTTAATTTGGGGCACCTGGGTGGGGCAGTCCATTAAGCGTCAGACTCTTGGTTTTGGCTCAGGTCGTGATCTCAGGGTCATGAGATCAAGTCCCATATTAGGCTCCACACTCACTGCAGAGTCTGCTTGAGATTCTCTCTCCCTCTCCTCCCTTTGCCCCTCCCACTCATGCTCTTGTCCTCTCTCAAATAAACAAATAAATCTTTAAAAAAAAAAAGGGGGCGCCTGGGTGGCTCAGTCGGTTAAGCGTCTGCCTTCTGCTCAGGTCATGATCCCAGGGTCCTGAGATTGAGCCCTGTGTTGGGCTCCCTGCTCAGCGGGTGAGTCTGCTTCTCCCTCTCCTTCTGCCCCTCCCTTCTGCTCATGCTCACTTGCACTCTCTCTCTCTCTCTCTCTTGCTCTCAAATAAAATCTAAAACAAAAA